CTTTGGGAGGATACCGGAAGGCAAATAAGGAGACAACAAGGCAACAGGGCTCGTCCAGGGGGGTAGGCGCGCCCTGATGCCTTGTGAGCCTCCCCATGGCTCCGTCTGACCTAATTCCACTTCTATAAATTCTCAAATATTGGAAAACCAACAAAGAGCCACCCGAAACATTTTTCTGCCGCCACAAGCTTCTGTTCTTCCGCGATCCCATCTGGAGGCCTTTTTCGTACTCTGTCGGAGGGGAAATCGATCATGGAAGACTTCTACATCATCCTTCATGCCCTTCTGACAATGCATGAGTAGTTCACCACAAACCTACGGGTCCGTAGCTAGTACCTAGATGACTTCTTCTTTCTCTTTGATCTTCAATACAATGTTCTCTCCTCAATGTTCTTAGAGTTCTATCTCATGTAATCTTTTTTTGCGGTGTGTCTGTTGGGATCCGATGAATTGTGGATTTATGCTCAGATTATTCATGAATATCAATTAAGTCTTCTCTGAACTTTATTATGCATGATTTTTATAGCTTTGTATTTCTCTCCGATCTATCCGTTGGTTTGGCCAACTAGATTAATTTATCTTGCAATGGGAGAGGTGCTTTGTGATGGATTCAATCTTGCGGTGTTCTATATTCAAGTGACAGAAAGGGACAAGATACATATTTGTATTGTTGCCATTAAAAATAGAACGACGGAGTTTATTCATATTGATTGGGTTTACTTTGTCTTCATCATGTCATATTGTTTAAGGGGTTACGTTGTTTTATGCTTAATACCATAGATGCATGCTGGATAGTGGTTGATTGGTGGAGTAATTGTACTAGATGCTAGGGGTGGACTAACGAGAAGCTTGGCTCATTAAGCTCGTGCTCGTTAAGGCTCGGCTTGTTAAGCTCGTTAAGATTAACAAACAGAAAACCCTGCCCGGCTCGGCTCGTTTGAAGCTCATGAGCGCTCGCGAGCGCTAGTTAACAGGTTATAATGTGTTATGATATACGTGATGAATGTGTAGGTGTGGTTTTCAAGATGAAATATGGTGATTATAAAAAGAAATGCAGTAGTTTGTTGCCTCATATGTCGATTAGATTGAATAGATGGGCTAAGGTGCCACAAAAGTTTGTCACGTAAAATGAAAATATGTGTTGTGTTGTTACTAACGAGCTTAACGAGCTACTCGTGAAACTCATTAGCTCGCTCGTTAAGCTCATTAAACTTAACGAGCTGAAATCAATGATTGACTCTGTTCATTAAGAAGCGAGCTGCGAGCTTAACGAGCCGAACTATCGAGCGTTCGTTAATCTCGTGAGTTACCAGCTTTTGGTCCAGCCCTGCTAGATGCAGGAAGGAGTCGGTCTACTTGTCCCGAATGTAATCCCTATATATATGATCATTGCCTTGAATATCATCATAACTATGCGTTTTTCTATCAATTGCCCAACAGTAATTTATTCACTCATCGTATGATATGTGCTCGAGAGAGAAGCCTCTAGTAAAAACTATGACCCTAGGTCTACTTTTATCATATATAAAAACACAAAAAACCTTGCTGCAATTTTATTTCTTTTATTTGGTTTTGCAGTTTATTATCTATCTACCACTACAAAATTTAATCCTTGCATGTAACCGCGGAGGGAACTGACAACCCCTTGTTCACGTTGGGTGCAAGTATTTGCTTTTGTGTGTGTAGATGTTGTTCACGAGGTTCTGTCTGGTTCTCCAACTCGATTGATAACCTTTGTTCTTAACTGAAGAAAAACACTTATGTCTACTGTACTGCATCATCCTCTCATTCTCGAGGAAATCCTAACGCAGCTCACAAGTAGCAGTGAGCGACAAAAGTTGAAGTCTCTGAGCGGAGACAAAGTCAGAATCGCTAAAATTCAATCTGCATGAAATTCCCTCGAAGTAGGACCCATGTGTGATTGGTCAAAGTTCCCATAATCCCCGATTTAGAGCAAGGCACACATTTCACTTATTGAGAGGAAGCCCAAATTTCATTCATAACATGGGTGGAAAATTTGCACTCAAGGAAAGAAATTCTTGAAGTATTTCTCATTTGGAGGATCATCGAAATATTTGTGTTTCATGTAAATTTTTGGGTATTCTAAATCACGCTTGTATAATTAAGGTGGAATCATGTTAGAACATGTTAGGACTAGTCTAGATACAACCATTTCTAGGACAAGTATTTCCGAACGGAGGGAGTATTCCTTTACGTGGCAGAGTGGTAGGCAGTTCTCCCATAATTCAGGACTAGTGTTTGAATCCCATATCAATTTTTCTTCCTAGAACTTTATGCCCATTGTATTAAATTTTAGTAAAAAAAAGTTATGTTGCTGAAATTCAAACCCTGGTCTACAAAATTGGATGTAACGAACACACAATTGCGATAGATTAGATTTTGTGTAACGAACACACAATTGGGAACCTATTTGGCCCATACGACGCTAGTTAGCGACCCAGCGCGTAGCCTTGCTGCGGGTCATACACTTTGGGCTGACCCATTAGCTCTTTTCGGTTTTGAGATGGTTCTAGAACCTTCCCAAACCGCTCTCTCTCTCTCTCTCTCACTGTCTCTCTCTCTCTTTGTGTTTTTCTTTCGTTTTTTTCTTTTGCCTTTTCATTTTTGTTCTTTCGTTTCCCTTTTATTTTGTTTCATGCTTCTTTTTCAATAATTTTTAGTTTTTATATTTAATGTTTTTTCATTTTTTGAAATCATGAATATTTTTTAAATCAGGAACATTCCTCCAATTAACTTTTTTATGAAATCATGAACATTTTTAAATTTTGCAATCCTATTTTACCAATTCATGAACCTTTTTAAAATCATGAAGTTTTTTGGATGCACGTATATAATTTTTTGAAAATTGTGAACTTTTTTATGAAACCCGTGAGCATGTTTTGAACCGGCGACCAAATTATCGAAATTGGGGAACAGTTTTTGAAATTCACAAACATATTGGAAATGCATGGACATTTTTCGAATTCATGATTTTTTAATCAGCGAACATTTATTAATTTTTTAAATTTTGTGAACTTTTTTAGAAAATTCTTGAACATTTTTTTGTCAAATTCACGAAAAATCCTTTTTGAATATCTGAACATTTTGCCAAAATCTAAACATATTTTGATTTCCCAAACTTTTAAATCATGAATATTTGTGACTATCCGAACATTTTTTCAAGTCATGATCATTTTTTGAATCTGTGAACATTTTATGATTTCTTGAACACTTTTTTTAAATTCACACTTTTTTATAAGTTTGGAACCTTTTTGAAATCTTATTTTAAAATAAAACAAATGAAAAGTCAAAAAGAAAAGAAAAACAAAAAGGTAGAAAAGGAAATGAAAAAATAGGGCGCCCCACAGATGGGCCGGTCCAAAAGGGCGCGCTTGCTCGTTCGCCAACGCCTAGCACGCGAAGTTGAAATCACTAATTGAAGAGCACTTCTTCTAAAGATCACTTTCATGCGCCACCTGTCGCAAATTGAGAGTTTTCTTTTTTTCTTAGATTCGTTTATTCAAAACGTTTTATCTCTTAAATCATGTGTCCAAGTCTCAAACTATTTTCACCGTTTAATTCCTCGCGTCGAGATTTTCAAAACTAGATCCCATGTTGATAGCTTTTGGCGAACATTTTTTTCACGAAAAAATCGGACAACAAAATCATGCCTCTCGCGGATGGAAAAAACATGTTTTTTTCATTTTCGAGAGGTACGGCCATGCCTCTCGCGAATGAAAAAACCCGTGTTTTTTTGTTTCCGAGAGACACGGCCGTGCCTCTCGCGGAAGTAAAAAGAAAAAATAAAACGTCTTTTTTTCTCTGTTTTGAGAGGCACGGCCGAGTCTCTTGCGGAAGCAAAATCGTACCTCTAGCGGGAGGAAAAATATACGCTTTTTTCGTTTATGAAAGGCATGACCATGCTTTTCGCGGAAGCAAAATTGTACCTCTTGCAGAAGAAAAACAATGTGTTTTTTTCGCTTTCCAAGAGACACGAGTGTGCCTCTCATGAAAGCAAAACAGTGCTTTTCGTGAAAGAAAAAAACACGTATGTTCATGCAATATTTTTCTTTTTTTACAAAAAAAAGAAATACCGCTGAAAAGCCAAAAAGCCAAAAAAAACTGAAAAAAGCTGAAAACGTGTGCGGAAAAAAAATCTGAAGGAAGCGTCCAAAGCGCGACACGTGGCGACGGCGGAGCCCATCCAAATGACCCTTGTGGAGACTCGCGAACGAGCGCTCCTCAATTATTTGCTCTCGCGTGAGACTAGCCACAATGGATAATAACATACACATATCCCTAGACTATATTACTACCTTTTATAGTGGGCAGTAACATAAATACGGTAACATGCAAAGCCTCATTTATTAGGTTATAGACTCATATTGTATTGAGACATGTGATATTACAGTAACTAGCTAAGTTACTTAAACTACCTCTCTTCTTATTAACTCATTGCCACGTAAGCAAATTTGTTGAATTGAACATTTTTACTGCTGAAATTACTCTCACTGTGGCTAGTCTGAAGTCCCTTACGGCGCATGTGTGCAAGTTGTTATAATTGGGCTGTGAAAGTAGCGTGACTGGCCGAGTTATGGGTCATTTTCCTGTTCGGTGGATCGCATAACGTATGTCCGTGGGCCGTAATGGAACTCTGATGTAGTTGGGCCAGGTTCCTGCTCTGTAGTAGGTCCAACGCCTCAATCAACAACATTGGAAAGATTAAAAAACAATTCGCAACCAACCGATATAATAAACTAAAAAAAAGAAACGAAATGGAAATAAACAAAGCAGACACGAAAAGACAGCAATATCCCAACTGACTCCTACTACTCACTAATAAACCCCTCCCGCCCCCACGCGCGCCTCCACCAAAACCCGAGCGAACCCAATCGGTAGGGTTTTGGACCTCCCCCCGCCCGCCGCCGGCGCCGCCGATCACAGCAAGGAAGGACGGAAGCGAGAGGCCCGCGGGCTCAGGCAGCAGGCAGGCGGGAGGAATGGCGCAGTCACTGGAGCTCCTGCTAATCCAGTTCCTGATGCCGGACAACGACGCGCGGCGCCAGGCGGAGGAGCAGATCCGGCGGCTGGCGCGGGACCCGCAGGTCGTGCCGGCGCTCGTTCACCACCTCCGCACCGCCAAGACCCCCAACGTCCGCCAGCTCGCCGCCGTGCTCCTCCGCAAGAAGATCACCTCCCACTGGCCCAAGCTTCCACCGCACGCCAAGGCTTCCCTAAAGCAGGCCCTCATCGACTCCATCACCCTCGACAACAGGTGCTTTCTTGCCCCACCCGACTTTCCCCACGCCCCCCGCCTCTCCGTAATTTAGAATTTGTCCTCTGCTGTATCCTCAGTTACACAGGGTTGTCTATGGGATAGCTGAACTGAAACGATTAACCGAACTGTTAGACGTAATGAGAACTGTAACCCTGTCGGGAGTAATTTATGGTCCATAGGTTAAGCAAGTTGTACAATTTACAGTGATCATGGTGACCTGTAATACATCTGCCCTGCTTGCAACCGATGTCTGCTCTGCTGCCGTTCCCTGTATAATGTTGTATTCATATGCTGGTATTCCAAATGGCAAATGGTTTGTTGCGAAATGGAGATACTTTTGTGCGAGTTTTATCCGGAAATGAACAAATCACTGGAAAGTTGCAGCCGGTTTGGTATGTCTTTTTTAGGTAGAACAGTAGGAAATATACTTAGAATGGAGGAGGTTAGAATAGGAGGCAGAAATGCACAAATGTGAGAAAACAGAATATTGCTTAATCGAATCCTAGTTAATATGGAAAAGTGCGAAGTAAACAATTCAAAATGTTGACTATGTAGTATTTATGATGTCTTGGAAATTCATTCTATTGGAGTTTTTCTTCCTCGATAAAAAGTCCTCTCCTTTAGACTTTAAATACTTACTTATATTTGCATATAAAGTTTATCTGTGATGGGGTTGCCATAAACTGGGCTAACTAGAAATATGGAAGTCGAGATATGCATAGTACAGCTCTAAAAAGTCACGATGACGATCAAGCATGGTTGATCTGTTTTCATTGGGACTAGCTAGTAGCCACCAATCATCAAGCTAATTCCCACCCTGGTGCAAATGCTGTTTCATTATTGTCCAATCTGCCTCAGTTTTTTCCACATGTAATTTTGAGAGGATGAAGAACTGATTTTCCTCTTGCTTCTTATGCAGTCATCTTGTAAGGAGAGCTAGTGCAAATGTCGTGAGCATTATTGCTAAGTATGCTGTCCCTGCAGGAGAGTGGCAAGAGCTGTTACCGTTCCTTTTCCAATGCAGCCAAAGTCCACAAGAAGAACATAGGGAAGTAAGTTTATCTCTTAGTGGACATGTATTTTCAATATTTAATTATGTATGCATGCATGCATTGTTTAGGGTGTAAGTATGGATATTTGTCTTTAATGAAACCTGCCGTTTGGTTTTATCATAATATACTTGGTACATGTGGACCACAATAAGAGCTTACTTGCACATTCCTTTTCTTCAATTTGGTATTTTTTAAAAGAACTGTCAGTTGCAAACTTGCAATCCTTCTGCCCTTTGCTTAATTGGCTAAGTATTAGTAGAGGTCAGTTTATATAGATCGGGTGACCTTACTTAGTAAGATAGGGCTGTCAGCAAGTAGTTAATTTGTTGTTTGCGTGTACTGACAGCTACTAGACCTGTATGGTCAATTTAGCAATCGACTTTCTTATGTACTACTCCATCCGTCCCAAAATTGGTACAAAGTTGAGACACTTATTTTGGGACGGAGGGAGTATACTTACAGACCAAAAAATCCATACCTGTGATAGCTTCCTTTGCTTCCCCTGTTCTGCCCCTCTGGTTTGCCAGTCCCACAAGAACTTTATCCGCGTAGTGAGAACATGAAAATGTATTTTTTTTGTGTTGCCAGCATGATTGCAGCATGCAGCCGCATGTCGGTGTGCTCTTTCGTAATTGTTTGTTTGGCATATTGTTCAATAAATGGAGCTAAATGCTGAAATCTCAAAACCATCCATAACTTAACCATGCATGGATTTTACAGTATGTGTGACTGGCCATCTTAGCCACCAAAAAGCCTACACATTTCCAGGTTCCAGCACTGAGGCTTTCATTTTTCTCCTACTGGTTAACATAACCTTCAAATGTTAGATTTCATAAGGTTGCACTGCCTATGCATGTCTTAACACCATCTTCTCTCTTTTTATTGATGGAAGTGTCTACCCGGTGTTCACTTTCTTCTATACTTCCTGTATATGTGTTAGTGGGGTTGGGATGCTAATACAGTAATGTGTAACTAATAGATAGTGCATTCTTTGACATCAAATGTTCCGATGTATGTAATATATGCAGTGTTGCAGAGAAATCAGCGTCCTCGTTCTGTATTTCGTAGGAATTGTTTGTGGATAAACCATAAATTATCGCAAGTGAACTATACAGGAAAGAAACATGTGCTGCTTAATATCTCCCAACAAAATGTCAATGCTTACTGACCTGCTCTTCTCTTTACAGGTAGCTTTAATTCTTTTTAGCTCCCTTACTGAAACTATTGGGACTACGTTTCAATCTCATCTGAATGATTTGCAACCTATTTTACTGAAATGCCTGCAAGATGAGACCAGCTCTCGAGTCAGAATCGCTGCCCTAAAGTACGATTAAGTTTGTTAAGTCGCTATTTTGGCCTTCCTCATTTTACCATATTGTGACTGTAAAGATATTTTTTGGTCTGTGTGCAACAGGGCCGTTGGATCCTTCATAGAGTATGTCAATGAAGGAGGAGACATTGTAAGTTCTTCCTATCTTTCCTGATTTTTATAAACATATACTTTTCGAGGTGAAAATGTGTCATCATAGTTTTCATTCTTATAGAAGACCTTTTGGCAATGTGTTATTCAGTAAAGCTTTTTTTTATTAAGTAGTACTTGAAGTTTTCTATGTGTTTGTTGTTTTCTTTGCATGCAGCAGTGGTAATTTTGTTTGTCTTGTTCTTTTTAGAGCTGTAGCTTCTCTTAGCTGATTTTAAGTTTTCAATAGTATGTCATGCTACCGCTAGAGTTGCCTCTTATGCCTGATGAGCAGATCTTGTATTGGTATAACTGCTAGGTAAAGATGTTCCGAGACTTTGTTCCCAGTATCTTGAATGTATCAAGGCAATGTCTTGCTAATGGCGATGATGATGTTGCTTCCATTGCCTTTGAAATATTCGACGAACTAATTGAATCTCCTGCACCACTTCTTGGAGATTCAGTGAGATCAATTGTGCAGTTCTCGCTTGAAGTTTGCTCAAACCAAGATATGGAAATAAATATAAGGCAACAGGTTTGATCAGCCATCTGCATTATTGATTATATATTTATTGATTTTACAAAATAACTGACTATAAATGCTCTTATTTGTTTCAGGCTATTCAGATAATCTCATGGCTTGTAAAATTTAAAGCATCTTTCTTAAAAAAGAACAAGCTGATTGTACCTATTCTACAAGTTATGTGCCCCTTGCTTACAGAAACAGCTAATGAAGATGAAGACTCTGATTTAGCGGCAGATCGTTCTGCAGCCGAAGTCATTGATACAATGGCTATCAACTTACCAAGACACGTTTTTGGTCCAGTTCTTGAATTCGCTTCTGTGAATTTTCGTCATGTTAATCCCAAGTATCGTGAGGCTGCTGTTACTTCACTGGGTGTTGTCTCAGAAGGTTGTTCTGAACATTTTAAGGATAAGTTAGAAGAATGTCTCAAAGTTGTTTTAGAAGCTTTAAAGGATCAAGAGCAAATGGTTAGAGGCGCTGCATCATTTGCTCTTGGTCAGTTTGCTGAACACTTGCAGCCAGAAATTTTATCTCACTATGAGAGTGTACTTCCATGCATCTTAAATGCACTTGAAGATCCATCAGATGAAGTTAAGGTAAAATAACTTAGTTCAAGTGACATCATCTCTGATAAATAGGCAGAAGCTTTGGATATAAATGATATTGATTAACTTTGCGTGGCATTTTCTGTAGTAATTAACTAATGCCAATAAGCGTTGTGATCTTGTAGGAGAAATCTTATTATGCACTGGCGGCGTTCTGTGAAGATATGGGTGAAGATATCCTACCATATCTGGAACCTTTGATATGCAGATTAGTTATATCTTTGCAGAGCAGTCCTCGGAACCTGCAAGAGACATGCATGGTTCGTATGGAAATCATTGGTCATAATTATCTATATGTCAAGACGGTGACAACCTTTTCCCCTTAAGTTATCTTATAATTTGACAATGATGATGTTTTGCTGCAGTCTGCAATTGGCTCTGTAGCAGCTGCTGCAGAACAGGCATTTATCCCATATGCAGAGAAGGTTCTTGAAATGATGAAAGGCTTTATGGTGCTCACTAAGGATGAAGATTTGTGTGCACGAGCTAGGGCTACTGAGGTTGTTGGGATAGTAGCGATGGCAGTTGGCAGAACCAGAATGGAAGCCATATTACCTCCTTTTATTGAGGCTGCTATTTCTGTGAGTCTTAATTCCAATACTTCAGAGTTCAGACAAACAGCAGGCTTTAGTGCAATTCTTTATGCTCTTCATATTTGCAGGGTTTTGGATTGGATTATAGTGAGCTAAGGGAGTACACTCATGGGTTTTTTAGCAACGTTGCTGAGATTCTGGATGATAGTTTCTCACAGGTAACAAGGGTAGTCTAAGTTTTGTTCATTTCACGAGTGCTGTAAATGTTTACAGAAGTGGTTGCTGCACATTGCAGTATCTCCCTCATGTTGTGCCTCTTGCATTTTCCTCGTGCAACTTGGATGATGGTTCTGCTGTGGACATTGATGATGCTGATGGTGTTGACAATGGATTTAGTGGTGTTTCCTCTGATGATGATGATGATGATGAGCCAAGAGTTAGAAATATCAGCGTGAGGACTGGAGTGTTAGATGAGAAAGCTGCTGCAACTCAGGCTATTGGATTTTTTGCACTTCACGCAAAGAGTGCCTATGCCCCGTATCCTTAAATGGGTTTAACACATATTTTTGCCATCTTTTGTACTTTAAAATTTCCTGAACTGACACTAGGTACTTGGAGGAGTCGTTGAAAATTTTAATCAAGCACAGTGGGTATTTTCATGAAGATGTCAGGCTTCAGGCTATTATTTCCTTAAAACGTAACATCTGTCCTAGTCCCCTTTAATATGCATGTTTGTAGCAGCTCTTTTGTTCCTTTTTTGTCAGGCCTACAGATAACAACTACTAATAGTAGGCTGACGATTTTAGTTGTAATTGCAAAGCTCCAAACTTCAGTAGTCATCTAACATACAAAAGGGTATTTAGATGAATAAACTTGTCACACGTAATCTACAGATTCTGTCTCCAGCATGGTATATAATATCCAATGGTATATTGATACGGTATACACTTCTTCACACCAAGATACGTTAATGTAAATCACAAGATGCATTCATTATTGAGGTTCTTTTATATAATGATGTATAGTTATACTTTATGTCCATCATTTGAGGTGTAGTTTAGGTTTAACAGCTAATCTATTCAAGCTGAATCATCAAAGTTTCAATGCAGAAAACATCATGCTAGTGCAATCTTGGTAGTGTATCGCTGATTACTGGATTTGCTCAAATAGTCATCGAACCTGAACCTAGCAATCCAAGGAGGGGCTTAAAATCGATCTACCAATGCGAACTCAAATCAGACTCCTACAGCTTTATCTGGATCCTCCTACCAAGGAGGGGCTTACCTACATCATACCCCTTTTTTACTTTTGTCATTTTTCTTCGTGGTATAGTTGGAAAATCAAATTTATCTGGATCCATGAACCCTATACTGTGTAGAGACCAACTACAAATCGCAAACCCCTCTGTTCTGGTAGGTAACTACCAACAGATCATAAACTAATAGTATATGGATTGCAAACAATTACGATCAATAAGATAATGTTTCACGCAGAAACCAGAGCAATTAGTCTTGTTTAATTTGAATCACCTACCCCCAGAAATTCAAATTTGTAAAATTAGATGCTTCTTTATGTATTTTTCTTTGAGACTTCCATTAAAGGTACGTTTTGTGATGTTATTAGTAACTATAGTAAAATTATTATTGCAGACATCCTAACTGCATTAAGGGCAATACCTGCACATCCTGTGAGTATTTCCTTGTATTAACTTGTCAATTTGGAAGTGCTTGCTGTGGAACATCAGAATTCTGATGCAGTGTACTTTTTCTACCATGCAGGATATACTAGAGAAACAGAAGGATGTTCTTGGTAATTGCTACTATAAGTGATGTCTTTAAGTCTATTGTGCGACCTGCACATCAAGCCATGCTCAATTTTTTTTTTCAGATACTATTATGAGCATCTATATCAAGACCATGACAGAGGATGACGATAAAGAAGTAGTTGCACAAGCTTGCATGAGTGTAGCTGATATCATGAAAGATTGTGGTTTTGCTGCTGTTGAACTTTGTAAGCTGCATCAGAGTTTGGTGCACTTGGAATACTAGGTTGTGCTGCTAAAACTGTCCCTTTTGTTGCTGTTTCAGATATGCCACGGCTTGCTGAGGCAACACTTGCTCTGTTGCGTCAAGAATCATGCTGTCAGCAAGTCGAGTCGGATGGCGAAGATGATGGTGACATCGATCATGATGAAGTCCTCATGGACGCAGTTTCAGATCTTTTGCCTGCTTTTGCAAAAGTGATGCGATCTTACTTTGATCCTATCTTTGCGAAGTTATTTGACCCCCTAATGAAATTTGCTGTGAGTATCCCCCCGTCCCTGTTTATTAGTCGTCCTCAACTAATGGCAGCTGCCTTATGCCTATAATGATTATTGTGAGAACTGTATATTCGAGGTTTGAAGTTCTTTCTGGAATAAATGCAGAAATCTCCACATCCTCCCCAAGACAAGACTATGGTTGTCGCCACTCTAGCTGAGGTCGCTCAAGAAATGGGTGCTCCAATTTCTGCTTATGTTGATGTATGCCTACAATTTTCTTAAAAACTATGCCATTTTATCATTGAGATCTCTATCGTTTTAGTTGATCTCTTAATGCTTACTCATATTTGAATCATTTGCAGAAGATAATGCCTTTGGCGTTGAAAGAACTTGCATCTTCTGAGGCTACGAATAGGAGAAATGCCGCTTTCTGTGTTGGCGAGCTATGCAAGAACAGCGGTGCTGCAGCACTGAAGTATGTATATTACTTACAATGACAGACATATTCCATGCTCACCTTTACATCTGAGGTCAATGTCTTGCACTTCGGAAGCGAGAAGGACCAAACGACTGTTATTTAAAATCTGTTGTGCATGATTTTTCTCTTGTGCTCCAAAAGCCTATCTGCATAGAAAATGGACATGAATGCTTTTTTCAACTGATTCTTGTTCCATTACTTTTATGAAAGGCAAGGGCATACACTTTTCACTTTATCAATCTTAGAGTAAGAAGCCCGCAAGTGAGGAGCAGTTGATGAAAACTATAGGTTACCACAGCTCTTATTAGTGTCCAAGTCATAGTATTGGAATTGCCGCAGTGTTCTTTCTCAAAGGCAATAGTTTATCTTTTCATAGTCCTGCTCAGAAGATCAAGTAATAGTCTGCCAACTTCCTGATTATTGCTGTTTCACAAAATTAAACCCTGACATTAGTAATTAGTTTTCACAATAATGACTTAAATGCTGAAGAATAAAAGCCAAAGTTTGCCAAGTGTATTGGATGTGGTCTGCTGTCTAGTCACTAAATGAATTAATGTTCTTTCTACAGTATTAACATTTTAGGGAACATGAACGATAGTCCTGTAAATTCAGTTGTTGACAGGCTTTTGCTCATCCTTCTGCAGATATTACCCGGATATACTGCAGGGTCTGCACCGTTTGTTTGCTAATTCCGAACAAGACCTTGCAGTTAGAGATAATGCGGCCGGTGCTATTGCTAGAATGATAATGGTGCAACCTCAGTCAATTCCTCTCAACCAGGTAGGCACTATCCTGTACATATTACTCCCTCTGCCTGGAAATACTTATCAGAGAAATGGCTGTATCTAGACATATTTTAGTTCTAGATACATCCATTTTTATTCATTTCTCCGACAAGTATTTCTGGACAGAGGGAGTATGTTTGAACAGCTTCAAATTCCAGGCTTTGAAGTGCCTATCTAACCCTTGGTTGCAATGCAATTTCTGTTTCTTAGGTTCTTCCAGTGTTTGTCAAAGCTTTGCCACTAAAAGAAGATCACGAAGAATCAATGGCTGTCTATAGCTGCTTATGTAATTTGTTACTATCATCACATCCCCAGGTGACTTGGTCTTAAACCACCCCATGTTTTTTGATTTATTCCATGATCTTTGCTTCCATCATGCAAACTTTTCCTAGGCAAAGCTAACTTTTTATTGTTGCAGATCCTCACTCTAGTGCCTGATGTGATACATGTCTTTGCCCAAGTGGTAGTATCCCCAGATGAGAGTGATGAAGTCAAAACAACTATTGGCAAGGCTGTTTCTCATTTGATATCCGTTTATGGTCAGCAGATGCAGCCAATACTAAGTGCTCTACCACCTGCTCATGCGAATGCATTGGCAGCATTTGCCAGCAGAAGATGATCTTCAGGGAAACTATTACCTTCGATTTTTGTGTGCCGCCTGAGTGTTTTCTCAAGATTGCCCTTTGATGAAAGGTTCTTCGGGTATGGTTGGAGTCACCCAAGTTTTGTCATATTAGTGCCATTTGCTGAAGTATACTGGTTAGCTGGATATTGTTTGATCAGCAAAACCTCTTTTTCGAGTTATTATAGTGACATTGCATTGGAATGGTGTTTACTGCGGTTGAAGGTGCAGTACTTTGGCTGTCGGCAGCTTCGGTGAGTCCCGTGTGTATTCAGGTTCCGTTTTTGGCAACTTGTTATTTGTTTCAGTTTTGTAATTCTTTGCTGGGGTGTGCAAATCATTGATGTACTGTTGTATATATAAACATCTTGTCCTACAATTTTTTGTTTATCTTTGATTTGTGGTACCTACCATATTTTGCTGTGGGCTATTCGTTAGACTTTTATTTGCTGTCATCCGCCTCCAGTTGATTGGTCTTAGACATGCAAATCTGGGACCCCTGGTTGTATGGATACTACTCTCGTCCCACAATAAGTGTTGCCGATTTAGTTAACTTTTTTACTCCCTTTGTTCACTTTTATAAGACCTTGAAGACATTTCAGACAATGTACAAAATAGCCCATTTGAAGTTGTCTGAAATGACTTACAAAAGTGAACAAAGGGAGTACTAAATTGGTTTTGCCTGCATGTCATTTACGGTTGCAACTAACAGAATTATTAGTAAAATTATTTTTCCAAAACAAAATCTTGCTAAAGCGTGTTTAATAGAACTAGAAGTAGATGCCGATTTTCTTTACCCATACAACCACTTGGGGTGTCCTCTGACCCCTCTTAGTTCAACCATTTGCAGTCTTAATCGGTCTTAAACTCAATCTTATATAATAAGACCATATAAACTGATTTACCACCAAAAAATACAAGAAATAATCTTACACACCCTTTCTTCCATTTTAATGGTTACAAAACCATCAATATAAGAAAGTTTTTTTAGATGGAATGCCTGCGGCTAAATCGCCGGCCACAGCACCGATTACATCAGGGGGCAGGTCAGCGAGCCAAACGCGCTCGCTGTCCAAAGCCATTCCTGCACCATGCCTTGCCAACATCAACATGTGGGCTGGGACATTACATTCACGGGACTGAAAAAGAACTTTAAACTCTATAAACCCTAAGCCTCAGTTGGTACTTTGCCTCCCCAGTTTTGCACGATCCGCAGCAGTTGAGACGATGGAGTGTTGCAGCGTGAGGCGGTCAGTCAGTCACGCTGAAAATGACACGGCCCATGCAAAACCCCTCTGCTAGGTCGATGGCCTTCATTAGCGCGACCGCTTCCGGCTGTAGGGCTTCAGACGCCCTCGAGATACAGCCAGCAGCAGCAAAAAGAACGTCGCCTGCTTCATCCCTGGCAATGCATCCCCATCCTCCAGATCCGTTAGTGTCGGTGACGGACTCCTCTGTGTTGAGCATCACCCAGTCACTTGGTAGGGGTTTGCAGCTAATTGATCGTGCCGGGCTGGCTCTGGGAGGTGCAGCAAGGAACCGAATCCATTCTTCAGTAGTGCTATGAAGTGTTTGGCTGACAAAGCTTGGTGGTTGTAGGCGGCTTGTAGCCTAGTTTCTCCATGTCTGAATCTGTTCCGTTCAGTCCAGCAGCGCCACAACATATAGATAAGAAAGTGCTTTTCAATACAAAATATAGAATGGTCAATGGCGTATACTCCCTCTGTCCGGAAATACTTGTCACAAATCTAGAACTAAAATAGGTTTAGGTACATTCATTTTTTTGACAAGTATTTTCGAACAGAAGGAGTATTTATCAAGAAAGGTCATGGTAGATAAAGCATGTGCATTGAGCGCCAAAATCTGAAGCCAACACCCCTCCGTGAGGTGCGGTTGGCTGCGGCGGCAGTGGCTCTGTGCTTCTTGGGCCGCAGGTTGGTTTGTTGGTGTGCTTGCCGACACCGGTGCGGCATGAGGTGCAACTGAGGTGGTGTGGAAGCGGGGGTGAAGACCCTGTCTCGGCATTGTGCGTGACCAGCGATGGCAGTGGCTGTGACCGTCGTTGACCTTCTTGGAGGCATCGCTGCTTTGCTGCCACACCCCTCCCGCACGGACCCGGCCATCACGACCTCTCGAGGGGGAACCCTTGATCCCGTGATCGGAAGATGACAATGCTTTGGTGTCGTTTTCCTTTTTGGGGGCTTCGTCTCGGAGCCCAACATTGACAAGTGAGACTGGTGGTTGGCGGCAGTTGTGGCGTCCAGACTTGTGTGGCAACGATGATGGTGGGAATGATGTTGGCGACGCGAGAATGGTTGAGGTAGTCGGCTCTTCTCCGGCGTGTCCATGGGATTATCTCGGTTTGTTTGTTGTTGTGAAGTCGAAAATGCGGCGGAGGGCCCATGTGGTATATGATGACTGGCTGCAGGTGGCCCGTTCGGCGATCTTCTGTGGTGCTAGCCTTGCCTGGTTTTGTCCTTAGTAGTTTTTCCTCGGAGTCGGAGCTGCGTTGTCTGGTCGTAGGTGGCTGAGTTTCGGCGTGGATCTTCATACACCCCCACATGACCTCTTCGGCGTGAGTTGAGTCGATGACTGCCGACGGCGAAATCGGAGTCGCTTGCTCAGGGTTTAGGGATGGCGGTGACGCCTCTAGGGGAGGAGCGATGATGATGACGCGTGTGTGCTGTCTCAGTGATGCCCTCGTTGGAGTGGTGTGCGTGGATCTCTTGTGTGTGCCGCTCAGCGGTTGTGATGTTTTTCGCCCGGTTTTCCATAATTAACTGGGCAATCTGGTTTTCGCTCGATTTTTCCTAATTAATTGAGCAACTCTTTTCTTCTTATTGAATGCAGAAACTCTGCCATTTCAGAAGAAAATAAATTCTGAAGCCACATGCATAAAAACATGTACAAGGAAATCTAGCCGGCCCATTTTGGTAACTGGTAGTATTTGGTGAGGTCAGTTTAGGCAAAATTTGTTCCTTCTCGACGAAGGATTAAGCAAGCAGGGAGCACCACGCAGTGTCCCTCTCCGGTCTGTCCAGTGTCCCTCGTCCAGGCTTACCTGAGCTCTTTTCTCCTCCTCGCTTTTGGATTTAAGGTCGCGAGCAACTAAAGCCCGATTTACGCCGCTCTAAAGTTGGATCCATCCAGAGCACTAATCCCATCAGCCATTGCACGCATCGATCGCACTTTCCGGCCAGTCTGCTCCTACCTTTCAACGCAGATTTGCAACTGGACCAATAACCATTTACTATTATTAACTCATGCTCAGCTCAAGTGCTCAACCCCGGCCTTTCCACTGCCGCCGCTGTCCGGAGCGGTAATCTCGGCGCCGGGGCGGCGCGCATCGGACGGCGGGCGGGCGCGGCCAACCCCGGGTTGACACGCCCGCGGGGACAGCGGCACGGCACGATCTCGCCCGGATCGCGCCCTTTGGGGCCGCGTGCTCCCCCACCACCACCCAAAGGCTAGCCCACCGCCATTTTTGGCATCTCCGTGCGTGCGCGGCCATGTGCTCGCGGCCGGCCCTGCCCGGCGACGGCGTAGCCTTTGCGTCCCGCGTCAGTCAGGATTCAGATTTCAGACCGGCCGAGCGTACGTTTCTGGATCGCGTTCCATTGGCTGGCTGACTGGATCACGGCCTATGTCTATGCGCGTGCGTGTTCGGTACCGGCCGGTAGGCAAATGCGACGCATGCACGATGGGAATCATCCATCTCATCGTGGTGTTACGTTACTAGTAGCCTGCTCGGTAGCAAGCATAGGTTCGGCTAGGAAGATAGAAAGGTCGGAGGTGACAAGCGAGCAGCGACCGCCCGGTTTGTATACATCTATCTGGGTGCATGCATGCATGCATGTTCGGTACGTACGTACGAACGGACGGACGGACGGACGGACGGACGCGGCGTAATATTATTCCCCGGTTAGTGCGCCGCGGGCGTGTCAACTGTGACGTATGTACTTACGATGTTTCTAGCTGCTGCACACTGGCCAATCTCCCATACGCTTGCCTCTCTTTTAGCTAATCAAGATCTCACTTTTGTAAAGAAGAAGAGAGCAGTGTGCTACTACAATTTCTACTACTCCTGAAAGGTGTTCGGCGGGCGTGATCGCTTTACTTGCATGAACATGCATCATGCATGCAGCACACATTAATATGATTAATTAGTAGTAGTTACTTTCGTGTGTGGAGTGAAATCAATGTTGATGATTCTCTCACGGCCCAACTTGCCCCGCGCATATGTCTCCTCTGACAACCAAGTATGTCTAACGTCTTTACACGAGAAGATGGGCAGGCGCCACGCCACCAACTGCATCCGACGATAGAGATGCATGTCTATGCATGCACAGTCGACTACTGCTGCCCGCGGTCGCGACGTCGCGTACATGTTATAGTCCACACACCTTCCCATCCATCCTCCACCCATGAGACATATGCACGCTAGCTAAAGTTATTCTTCTCATCAGTATAATCTATAATGCATGTAAGCCTAGCACTAGCAGCTTCTTGCTAAGATCAAGATCAGCATTGTCGTGTGGCATCCATTGTCTCACTTGAATCTTGATCGTCATTGGATGGCTAACCTTGAGACATCACTCTCTCTTTAGAGCCAGCCAGTCGTTAATTTGTACGAGTACCAAATGACTACAAGGCGCCATGTTTACCACAGAAGCTAGGGAAGACATAACATGGCGGCAACGGGCAACAGATCAGAGAGTCACAGGCTAGCTAGAGGGTCACTACTGCTTTTGCTGTGGCGGATGGAGCTGGACGGTACGATTTGGACAGAAGCAGATCCTGCGTGGCCCCAGGATCGCGCCTGTCCTGGTAATGGCGCGCAGGATTCGATCGCTTGCAATCCAAGCCGGATTCTGATGGCACTTGCCTTGGATTTCCTGACGCTCATGTTACTACGACTGTGCACAGGCACCCGCGGCAGCAGCTACAGATAGATATCGAATCGCCTTTCTTTATCTCCCTTTTGCTAATGCACACAG